TTCTATGAATTGGTCAATTATTTGAGTCTTTGGAGTGTCTAAACTCTTGTAGAACCAATATGATTGTTGCTCCAAGATAAATCCATGATGTGAGCATGATCGAAATAACTCTTTGTAACCAACCCATGCATCATAGAATGCCTCAACATCCTCTTGTTTGAACCTTATAATGTGACCCCTTATCTAGTCAGCCTTCTATGCAGGGAAGTATTCCTCTAGGAATCTACGCCTTCCCGGTTGTTTAAGAGTGATTGGTGACACTTTAATTATAGTATTTGTCACTCCCATTCTTGATAAATTTTTCTCTTATATTGAAGCATCTTTAGTCATTTCAATAGGATTTCTTGTCTAAATCCAACTATTTGACCAATAAGCTTTTAATAGACCTAGGGAATGTTCTTGTACTATTTGCTGCCTTCAGGGTATATTTTTTAATGATTTTGAAGGTACAAAGCAATCTAAGGAAGATTGGATCATGCATTAATGAACTCTAGAAGACCAAATGAACTATAAAGAGAATATTAAGGAGTTTTCACGAGAGAGAAGTGGTCCAATGATGGAGAGGTCAAATACAAGTTGCTAGAATATGTCAAGACGAGCCCATAGGAGGAAGAATCAGAAGGAGTGAGTAGTGTCCCAAGAAAAGGTTCCAATCTCTGCTCCCTTAAGTTGCAGCCCAAATCATCAAGAACAGAAATCCATGGATCAAGAAGCCCAACCCTTTAAGAAACAGAGCATCGGGTCCAACTAACGCCCTACTGTCGCCTTCCCATTACTTTGTTGACCAAATTTCCTAAGTCTACTAGGTTTAAGAGGCTCTTTCCTAGTCATTTTAGGTAGTTTTAGGCCGGATTCGCCCCCATAAATAGAAGGCATGACTCCATTGTAAGAGTAAGGCTACAGAAACACAAAAATCTTTGTAACACTCTACACGAGTGCTTAGCCCAAAGAAGGATTACATAGATGAAGACACCTTCGATTCGGAGGAAGAAGGAGCATCTTCAACATCTTCAGAACCAACAATGACTGGAGAAGAAAGACAAAGACAAGTGGTCGTTTCACAATCTCTTTTTGAGTATTCAAGGCCAAGAGCATCCAATATCACCTCAAGCACTGATGCTCTACCAAAGACCATAGAGATAAGAACTCAGTTCATCCAGGTGTGAAACAAGAAGGGAAGTTTAGAGGCAGGAATGATGATGATCCAATGCAACACTTGAAGACATTCTTAGAGATCGTCGATTCCATACCAAGAGATGATGCTACCATAGATTGAATTCGACTATGAATTTTTCCATTATCACTTGGAGGAGGAGCAAAGCAGTGGGCTTGACTACCATCCACCAGAAACCTTCACCACGTGGGAGACCCTAGCATAAGCATTCATCGAAGATGACTTTCCATCATGGAAGATAGAAGAGCTTATAGACGAGATTACTCAATTTCAAAAGAAGGAAGGATAGACTCTCTATGAAGTTTGGAGGAGATTCCAAAGGTACATCAAAGAATGCCCCCACATGGATTCACACTAGAGAATATTGCAAATTACTTCACCAAAGGCCTTGATCAAGACACCACGGTGATGGTAAACTAGTCGGCCGATGGATATTTCACAACAATGATGGGAGTGAAATGCATGAGCATTTCACCACACTAGCAAGGAAGTCAAAGAACTTGTCCAAGAGTCCATCAATGATCAAACCATTGAAAGTTTCCCAAGGAAGGGAGGATGATGTCGCCACCCTCTTTGCATACATGAAAGAGCTTACTCAGAAATTGAGGAAGACTTCAATGGAGCTAAAGAATGCAGCAATGGCATCCTTTTTCGTTTTTGAAGCATGTAGAGAAGAAGGTTATGAAGGATTCGAATGTTATACCCATAAAGGGTAAAGACATGTTGATTTCAATTATATATATTAAGGCTTTCAATATTTTGACAAGAATGAATGATTTTAAGACATGAAAAATAGTACCTACTAACGAGGTAAGTGTTCTAACGAGAAAATGCAGGTATCCGAAGTAGAACACGAGAGGAAGCCATGTCGGGCGCCACACTCGTGTAACTGCCTCCCCCACTTCTTTTTAAAAGGCCAACATTTGACCATTTCATACCACTCACCTTCATTTTCACTTTTCCCTATATCTAGCCAAAAATATTATCCCTTCTCTCCAAGTTTCAAATTTTCTCCCACAAACCTAAACTTTCAATCACCAAACACATTGCCAAAACTCACAATTTCCACCTCAAATTAGGGATACAACCTACCCATCACCTACTAAACAAAGCCCAAATAAAGAAAATTCCAAAAGCTCACCGAAGGCGTAATGTCGGTCATACCCATCGTCGTGTCGCTTGCCGCCATTCTTATTCGTTTTTCAAATTTCTTCAATTTTTATGCAAGTTTCTTCAATCCAAGTAAGTATCCATGATCTTTAGATGAATTTAGGAGCTTGAGCCATTAATTTAGGACTTCGATTGAGGATTTCAACGTTTAAAATTGCATGAGATTGATTGGAGAGTCTTCTGCAAATTTCGGTCTCTATTAGGCGCAATCTAGTTTATAAATAAATGGTGATTCCTTGTATGCTTATAAGTAAGATTGCACGGTGCTTACTATGATTTTAAGAGAATGTATGCTTGGATAGATTGATGAAGTTTAACAAAGGTCATGCCAAAATTTTAGCATAACACAATTTCCCATTAATCTTTAAACGATAAAAAGCTATGCTACATTTTCGAAAATATTGGTAGGAGTTTTGATTTTGGAATTAAAATGAGATTAGGACATTGTTAGTTTCAAGTTCATTACTATGTTGGACCGAATGCATCTCATTTTACTTGTGCCAACTTATTGACCTTTGCCTAATCGTATACCTTGGAGATTTCAAAAGTTTTGAAATTTTCAAGGTACGTGCTTCATATTACTTCTACATTTTGATCTAGAATACTTCCTATCTTTATATGAGCTTACACGATAAATGAAGTATTTGACTTACTATCTTGATACATACTTGAGAAGTTATATGATTGGCTTAGGGAAGAAGACCAGCTCTTAAAGTGTGGGGTTATACCCTATGATCTACACTAATATGGTTTCTTTTGAGCAGTAAAATGTCGAATTCCTTCCCATGGTTATGGAGGCATAAGAAGAAGAAATGGGACTATGGTACTTCTTCATCAAGAGGGTCGAGCAATCTTAGTCCACCCAGAGTAGATCCAGAGCCTGTAGCACCACGACGGTTTGAATGACCCAATAGGAGGGAGCAAGAAATAGTGATTGAGGAGGAGGATTCTTTTAGGGAGTCGAGTTCACACTTTCTCTTTGCTAGGAGATCCTCGAGTCAAACCAGCATAAGGCTATCTATGGATAGTTGGAGATCAAGAAGCAGGAGTAGATCGCTGCCACCAGAGTATGAGGTGATGGAGACTGATAGTAGCCTGGCGATTAGAGATGACTCACCTGAGCCTCCCTGCAGACCTTCATTAAATTTCCATGCGGGAGTCCTAGTGCCATGAAGATATCAAGATGGAAGGAAGTGCCTGTTTATTAGGGTTGGTAATCGCTCGGTTACCAGTTTAATCGGTTAACGATTATCCGGTTATCAAAATACCGACTAGTGCCAAATTACTGCCGACTACCGCTATCGGGACGAAACCGGTTAACCAGATAACCGGATACCTGTTATGGGTTAGCAACCGGTTCCCATCGTATCTTTTTTTATCAGAAGCCTTCCCCTAAAAAACTTACCACAAGAATAGAACAATAGCAACACAAATTCAAAGCGCAAGGACAATCACCGCAATGAAAGAAGCAAGACATATCAATTCAATTTCAACCTCAATTTTGTCCATAAGAAGCCAAATAATACCACATGCATTCATTTAGTAATTTAGAGCATTGAAAGTTGAATTTCAAGTTGCACGCATCTAGGCAATGGCAGCCAAGCCTAGCCAAATCAAATGAATCCATAGGGGTGCATTCGAGTGATTTTAGTTGAACTAAACCTAACACGCGCACTCTTTGGGCCGAAATTCGGTTGATTTCAAGCCACTTCTCAATGTTTGGTTCGGAATAGAGCATGCACTATCTCACTGATAACCACCTGCCTTCCCTAATCCCTCTACTTCAGTTTTAGGCATGTGATATGATCCAAATCCGAAGAGAATCCTCGAACTCAGATTATATGACCAAAGTACGCAACCTTCCTTCTTTTTAAGGATTTTCAAAGCTTTTCTTGAATACGGAAATAAAGATAGATGCAGAATCAATCGGATAATCCCAACTCGTGACAAAGGGAAATTGGTATATTAAACCAATCAGACAGAATCAACTCGTGGAAAGGGGCAATTGATATAGGGTAGATGCTCGCCACAACTAGACGCGTTCTCTAGTTGATAAGAGACACGTACAATCTCCTGGAATCCTCAACAAAAGTCTTGCACAAAAGAACTTGTTCGCAATGAACTTGAACTCAACTTTGATTGATAACTTGAATGTTGGGTACAAAATTCGTAGCTCTTACACCCTCTATTTATAGAGGTCTCAAAAACATAAAACTAACCTAAAAGAAATAGGAAAACAAATCCCAAACTAACTAGAAAACATAATAGTAATTAAATAAGGACTAAAACTACTAATCTACTATGTAACAAATAAATCGATTATACATATAAATCCAAAAATAGCACTGCTGCACCCTGCACGTGCTGAACTTCCTTCTTCCCTATGTAATTGAATTCTGGCCTTCAAATTCCCTTCTCCTGGCGGAAATGGATCTCTTATGCTGGCGCTTGCTTGTGATAAAACCATGGTAAAGGAAACCGTACCGGACATCAAACCGGATTCCTTTCTGGTAGGGTATTTTGTGGTACGACCGTGGTTCAACCGTTTCATATCGGTAAATACCGTTTTTGTAATAATCATTAAAACACATGCCTAAAATGCAATGAGTAAGGAATTTGATGACTGGTGTATAATTTAATTTTGAGTACCATATAGTAATTGACCTTTAATATATTTATATATATTAGTATAAAAATCCTAAACCTAAATCACTATCACAGACAACACACGTGAGCCCCATCTTCTCCCTTTCTTTTCCACCGCCCCTCTGTCTTTCCATCAATCACCAGAACCAAACACATATCCCCCTTCACCTTCTTCTTTCTCTCTATCTTCTTAGGAAATCAATGTTTCCCGGTTTCTCTCTAACACTTGTCTACCAAATCCCCCAAAACGAATTTCCCTGTACACAAGATATTGAACCAATCCACCCTAAACAAGCAGCAACAATGGAAAAAACTGAGCTAATTCTAAAAGTAGAAGGGGTAATTCTTCTTCAGATAGCCAGGTCGGTGGTGACTTGTAGGCCGAGCGACAATCTTGGTTTCTTCCCGGGGAGAGGACTCTCCACTTCTTCGTTTTCTACTACTCCGTCGATCCTCCGGGAAGGTTTCTGAACCACGCTGCCGCCGCCGATGGCCAATCCCAGATCAGGGCTGGCCGGCAGATTCAAATCGAAGTCAAATCCAAACCCACCACCGCCACGGCTTTGACTCTGACTCTGGCTCTGGCTCTTCGCCGCCGCCCCTATCCCGATGGTGCTCTCCGACGACTCGCGTGCAGCCCCGCCGCCACCGCCGTTGTTGTTGTCTTTGAGGGTGCCTTCATAGTTGCAGCCCCGCCGGTCTGATTTAAATCGGACGGTATACCGGTTCATGCCGGTTAAGCCGATTAAACCGGCCGGCGCGATAGAAAGGTGGCTGGTAGGGTATCGTTTCGCTGCTGGTCGGATTCCCGGTTTTACCGGTTGAACCGGCCGGTACGATCCGGTTTCCTTTACCATGGATAAAACCTACCAGCCTTCACTTTGTCTTTTGTGGATGTTCTTTACGTGGGCATTAACCTACCAATAATCCATTTCAAGCCAACTACGTCCACCACTTTATTAATTGACATGTAATTACAGTCATCAACCACGAGCACAATTCACGTTAACTCCATGCCCAGAATGTCACTTTGAGATCCACGCAGCTCCATTTATCCATTAAGCACGCTCCCAATTGATCCTTATATCTCCTTATTCGAACCTTCATCTTTGAACCCCGGAAATTAAATATCACGCTAGTCGATATCATATCGGCATGAAAATTCCCGCCGACAAATCTCGCAAAGCCATGGTTAATTGAATTCGTGATTCGGTGTCATAGCACGCAACCTCTTCCACGAGCTTTTGTTTAGGGACCCAACGTGTTGTGGAGGGGGAGTGAGGAAGATGGAGAAGGTATGGGGATTGGTTGGCCTTTCATGGAGATATATTAAATTGGGGGTGCGGGGATTGATTTCAAGGGGAAGGGGAATGGTGGAATTGGGAATGGAGGATTGTGAGATGTGGGGAGATGGCAATGGCGTCACATAGAATAAATGGAAGATGCGGGTGGTGGTGGAGTGGGTGAGAGAAAAATGAGAAGGAAGATGTGAGTTGTATTGCTTTCACATTAATTAGGTGCTTTCTGGTTATCCGGTATACTGGCTAACAACCGGTTACTAACCAGGTAAAATTCGGTATACCAAGTTCATTTTTTTGCTACCATTTACCAATATCGTCGGTTAACGGTATAGCCGGTCACTGCCGGTTACCACCCCTACTGTTTATCAATAAGGAGAGCTAAACTGACACTTCGACCAGTACCAAGGATGAGGAACGTAAGTCAAAGAGAGATTGGATGATGCTGGTCTCTTGTCACTATTTAGCATTTGAGGAGAGAGCATTGATGTCCTCACTATGGAGTTATTGGCCACATTGACAGTTGAAGCATCCGAGCAACCGAGAATGATTTGCATCATCTATCGATTGGTGGGACGAATCTTCAAGAATAATTATGAAAGCTTTGCAGAAAATCTTGGGACCCCTTACCATCATAGGGGGAGGACACTCTCTGATGATAGTCTCAAAGCATATTGGGAGTGATGCTAGTCTCAAAGCATATTGTGAGCCGACAACCAACCATCCATATTTCAAGAGCTTTGAAAGAGATTTGCACAAGGTTGTCAAACCGGTTTATGCCGGTGTGTCGGTTTTGTAAGTGGAATGGTCTGACCGTGGTACAACCAGTATTCATGCCGGTTGTGCCAATTTTAATAAAATACATGAGGAAAATGGAAATCCTCAATTCCAAATAAATTAATATAAAAAAGCAATTAGAAGAATTATTTCACACAAAATATTTGCATGAAATGAGAGGGCCGTGTTTTCCGGTCAAGCTGCCCTTCATAATCCACCAAGCAAATTTTGCCAAAACCGCATGATTGAAGCATTCAAAATCTCGAAATTTCAAACCACCCTCTTGTTTACGCGGTATACATCGTCTTCCAATCAATCCAATGCACCTGCCTATAAAAGTGCAATTTCTTTCTCCATGGCCCCAGTCCATCAAAGTGGAGATATGAAACCAAGCTCAAATTCGAATCTGGGCCGGGCCGCTTCATATATGATTCCTGGGTGGGCTTTCTCATATGGGAGGGGTGGCTTTCTTCAGTTCGGCTTTGACGAGATCCGCGTGCTATTGGGCACTGGAAAGTCGCATGGGACGTGGCAAGAAAGACGCCGTGGGATGAACGGGGCCGGGGAAATCAAATTTGTGTGGGAGTGGATGGAGGGCGCTTTCTTTTGAAACCAATCATAGGCACGTGCCGCGTGATGCCTTCCAGTTCTCCCACCATCACTTGCTGCTTTTGACCGGGCCTGCATTATGATCCGCCACGTGTCCCGTAGCTGGCCTGTCGGCGGCAAAAGTAAATAAATTCCCCGCCCCTGGTGTCCGTTCCCAGCCTCATCTAATCTAACCCTCCTTGACGAAATTGCCCACACCCCGGCCTTGAATACTTCCAGTTCCAGATATCATAATAAGCGTAATAGTTGGACGCTTGTTTGGGCATTCCAGTAATTTCATCCCTTGACAGCTCTCTCCCACAAGTCTTTCCAGTGCAGTACTGCACCGCCCTGAGTCTAGAAAGAGAAGTCTATCTTTCCCCAACAGTTCAGCTAGCTTCCTCCGCTGCTTCTTTGCGTTCATCCAAAATCCCCAACTCCACCATTTCTCCCATCTCCATCTCTCTTTTGCAAGATCCAGAAGTTGCCTCTTATCACATTTTCTCAATTCGGGTTCCTGCTTTTTCAAAAGGGGCGCCCCGCCTCTGCTTTGCCTTCCGCTTTCTTTTGCGCTGCTTGCTTTCGTTCTATGGTTTGCAAGCTATGGATACAAAGAAAGTCGGATTGCCAGACCAACTCCTGCTCTCCCCAACGAGGAAGTTGCTATCTGGGTTCGCTCTCTGGATCGCCAGCGCCTTTTTCATTGTACTCTCTGTGCTCCTCCTCAGCAGTTCCTTAAAGGGGCGCGCCGTGTTCCAAGGGTTTAATCACGTCAGTGTCAACTCCTCCTCCCTTGTTTCCTCTTGGCCCTTCTCGTTTCCCGCTTCTTACTTCCCCGGCAAAGACAACGCCACAGCAAATGCATTTGGGGTGGTTTTGGGGAAAGTGCATTTGCGGAATTCGAGTGATGAGAGTGGGAGCGGAGATCCGAAAGGAGGCTTCGTTGTAGTCGGCAAGGAAGATCCGGCAAGTGTTCGACAAAATACCCAAGTGGCGCAAGGCGAAAATCTCACTGATTCTACCGGGGTTGGAAGTAATATCCATGGTTTGCTGACCAATGGAAGCTTGCTCGTTGGAGAGCCGATTGCAGAATCCGAATCTAGAGAGATTTCTGTTAAAGCAAATATGACAGATCATGCAGGGAGACGGAATACTACTAGTAAAGAAGCTGACTGGTCCAACGGTAGGGCTGTAGAGCAAGGTGAAGATGAAAAACAAAGTACAGAAGCTTCTTACCAGAACTGCGATATATTTGATGGAAGGTGGGAGAGAGATGACTCCAAGCCCTTTTATCCCGCTGGGTCTTGTCCCCATATTGATAAGGATTTTGATTGCCACTTTAACGGAAGGCCTGATTCTGGATATGTCAAATGGAGGTGGCAACCAAATGGGTGTGACATCCCAAGGTATATCATGTCCATGCCCTTTACTTGAAATGGAAAACTATGTATGCTTTTGGAAGTTTCGAGGTTCTGATGCAAGTAGGTTTAAGTCTCTTTATTGATTTGGTTGTACTTTAAACAGCGGTGCGGTATGGGATCAGTAATATTTGTTAGGAATTAGGATTCTCATTGAGGATTCAGATACAACCTGCCTGATTAAGGGTTGAATCATCATTTCGTTCAAGTATATACATTAACTCGCTTGTTTTAGATTAAAGAGGTCAACGGTTGTTCGAGTTAGGTTCTTTCTCATGCATGTGGTTTAATTTTGAAATAGTTAGTTGTAAGAAGCATGCTATTTTTGGTATAGTCTAATAGGAAACATTTTGAACCGTCATTCTCTTACGTTCTCAGGTTGAATGCCACTGATTTTCTAGAGAGATTAAGAGGGAAGAAACTGGTTTTTGTGGGGGATTCCCTTAATAGAAATATGTGGGAATCCTTGGTTTGCATTCTTCGTCATAGTATCAGGAACAAGAAGAGAGTTTATGAGATATCAGGAAGGACAGAGTTTAAAAAGAAAGGTTTCTATGCCTTCTTCTTTGAGGCAAGTCTCTACAAAACTTCCAAGCTTAAACATATATTGTTTTGCTTTCATTTCCATATATTTTGATGAGTGAAACTGGACGTGTTTGCAGGACTACAACTGTACTGTGGATTTTGTTGGCTCTCCTTTCCTTGTCAGAGAATCATCGTTCTCTGGTGCAAACGGAACATTCGAGACTTTAAGGTTGGATTTGATGGACAAGACAACTTCAATGTATCATGATGCCGATATCCTAGTTTTCAACACGGGTCACTGGTGGACTCATGAGAAAACTTCTAAAGGGTGAGTGGAACAATGATTTAGGTTTCTCATGCTGGTTATAATTGTCTGTGGAACAATGTGAATTGCCGATGCGGTTTAAGTATGATCCCTCATGTTTGTTGCTTTCATGATTTTGCAGAGAAGACTACTATCAGGAAGGTAGCCATCTACATCCAAGGCTCAAGGTACTAGAAGCATATAAGAGGGCACTTAAAACCTGGGCCAGATGGGTGGATCGGAGTACAGATCGAAGCAGAACTCATGTCTTTTTCAGAGGCTATTCAGTGACCCATTTCAGGTGAGAGTAATCTTTGATCTCATTTTCATTATCATCAGTGCTCCATACTTCTCTATGCTTGTGTAGTAAATCATTGTTAGTGGGGAAATAGGTCTGCTTTTTGCAACAAGCTTTTGAATTGCGAAGAGGGTTTTGTCCCTTTGGTGCAATTCTGAGGAAACTTGTTTTGTCTTTCATTTTGGTTACAGAGGTGGCCAATGGAACTCAGGAGGACAATGCCATAAAGAAACAGAGCCCATCTTCAATTCAACTCATTTAGCCAAGTACCCAACAAAAATGAAAGTCTTGCAGAATGTTCTCAACGAAATGAAAACTCCAGTTACTTATCTCAACATTAGTAGGCTCACGGATCACAGAAAAGATGCCCACCCATCAATTTACAGAATGAAGTACAAGACGGCTGAAGAACTCATTGCAGCTGAACGGGCTCAAGATTGCAGTCACTGGTGCCTTCCAGGAGTGCCAGATACCTGGAATGAACTCCTGTATGTCTCACTCTTGAAGTCTGGGTTCGGATCCTGGAAGACATGAGTCAACTTTCGCCTGCGGTGCACCTACTGAACTTTTATCAGTAGGGGGTCGCGAAGATCGGAAAGTCATGCTTCATCCCATTACATATTACTACCATTCTTTGAGAACTTAACAGAGTCTAGCTCATCTCTGTAGTAACCTTTTCCAATTACCTGTAGAAAGTAAGCTTGTTGATGCTAAAATGAATGTAATTTGAGCGGCTAGCTCAATTAGGCACAGAGAATTGTAAATTTTGATACCAGGTGGGTCCTGTCTTCAGTCCCGTGTTACAGAAGTGGCCATATGTTAGATTCTTGTACTGTTCTACACTTTTACTTGCTTATTCACGATCATCAATAAGAAAGGGAGAAGGGTTTTGAGTTCACTCAGTATGTCATGTTGATGTGACGAGTTGGCTGAAACTAAATACCACAGTTTGAGAGCAATCGATTAGATTCTTTCATCAGAAAGCAAAGGTTGAACAAACCTAGGGGAGAGGATTACATACATCCATACGTTTATTGTTGTGCTCCTATGAAAACATTTCAGAAACAGAGAAACCCTGGAAACCAATTATCAAATTAAGCAGATCAAACCAAACTTAAAAAGTCAGGCCGAGCTTCTGCAGAATCAAACAACATTACCCAATGCAATCCCTTTTCTTTTTCATACTTGTCCATCCAACATAAAGAAAACATCAAGATAAGGTAGAATGGTTAAAGAAAAGATACAATTGTTTAGCCATAAGAGAAGACTCATGACTGAGCCGGTTTGCCTTTCTGTGACTTGCCGGTCTGCCAGGGGACGATCGCCTTCAGCCTGATCATAAGCACAGGCCATGGCTGAAGAGTGATCCATCTAACTGGCAAACTGTTGAGGAAGACCATTGGAGGGAGGACGAAGGAACCGACCAAAGGCAAGTTGGCACCACCACCTCACCCACCAATCTGCCACCCCCACAAATTCCCATGCTTTCTTTCTTCTCTTTTCAGAGATATGGATGGAAGGATGATTCTTCACAGAGGATTTCCATGCCTATCAGATTCCAAAGAAGAAAGAAACTAAACATGATAAGGAGCGGTATCCAATGGGAATAATTTGGCTCTTTGTGTAAAGAGCCAAATGGTGGGGGGGTGAAGGACCTTGGTGAGGTAATGAAGGAGGGGTTTAAATAGATAATTTCCATTCGTTCATTGCATAATTTCCCATCTCTTTTTCTCTTTCCTTTGTTCATTTCTTGTTTATATGTTTAGTAATCTTGTTGCGAATTTCACTTTTGGAAAAACAATGCGTGGGGTATAGTTGGGAGTAAAGTGACTAATTATTGGTTCTCTGTCTCCCACCTCGGCTCATTTGCTTGACCCTCTTGCCCCTTCGCTACTCGTCCTCACAAATTTCCAGTCATTTTTGTAGTTTGGTTTTGGTGATAGTTTGGTTGAGATGATTATAATGCATGCAATGTTCACAATATATTGTTTTTTTTTTTAAATTTTCGGCGCAAACAATACATGCATTGTTTGCTTGATTTGACACAAACTTTCACTTAAAATGAGTTATAGTTAAATCTCAAGTTTTCGTTTAGATTGTTGAGATTGTTTGATAGAGATTGTTGTGTTTTCTTCTTCTTCTTCTTCTTCCAAATATGTCACTATCTTTAAATGTGTGTTGCTTTTTATATTAAAAACAAAGGGTAAAAGTGACATTTCACCCAAAAAGTTATATAATTTATTTAAATACTACAATAACTATCACAAAAATCAAACGATATAAACTACAATACACCAATTTTCTTATATACATATATATTATTATGCATGCATTGATGACAATACATCGATTTAACTATCACCAAAATCAAACGACCCCTTCGATCCCAAGTAACTGTTTGCTTTTAAAGTTTTGAGTAGGAAGATTATTTCAAGCTTGTTTGATGTATATGTAAATGTAGGCGGGCAAGCATGGGATGGGATTAGTTGCTAACCCTTATAGGGGTTAGCACCGTGATAACTAGCAAAAAACGCTACTAAAAATAACGAAATCACTACAGATTATTATAAAATCAATACAACATCTAAGCTAAATCACTACTAATTCAAACTAGTAGTAGTTTTTCCCTTGATTAGGACGGTGCTAACTATTGTACAATTAGCACCGTAGCCGTTCCCGGCAAGCATGGGTATTTTACTATTTTTATTTTATTTGATTTGTCCTGATGCATCACATATTCAACGTGATTTTGTCTAAAATATATGTAATTTATACAAATTATATGTGATTTTACTTTTATTATCTCATATTTGAGCTATAATAAAGTTATAAACAAGTGAGAATTTGAATTTCATGAATAATTTACCTACATTTATCATGTTATAGTTTTTAATGAAAAAATAATATCTTGAATGTTGTTCTTTTAAAATATGAATCGCTATTCGTCGCTCTAAAATTTAAATTTTATCACATTAAACTACATTAAAATGACACATATGCCCCTACCCCAAATCAAACCTAAACCCTAGACCCTTCTCTCGGCAACCAAAATCCGTCGCGTCCCATTCTGGACAAAACCCATAACTGCTCTTTGTCGCTGTCATGTTGCTGTTACTGGGCGGAGGAGGACGAAACCACTGCTTCTGTCGGGAATTCACTCTCCGCCACCTGTTGATATGCTGTAATGTTGTCGCTGTCGTGCATGCAGAGGTTTCCTTCCATCTTAATTAAGTTACAAGAGACAAAAAACTCTACACTTAAGGAAATGCCAATGGTCTTCCTCAACAGAGCTCGAGTAGGGTTTCATTATCGGAGAACGGAACAGAAATCTGTCTCTTGTGTGTTACAAAGGCAGCTGCCACAAGGCCTACTAATACCCTTCTATGTGAGTAATCTAGCGCAATTAGGAAAAGATTGCATAATAACAAATAAGTACCCAAACAAGGTACTAATGACGATTACACGTCAACACGCCCTCTCAAGCTGAAGCATGCATGTCACGAATGCCAAGTTTGGATAATAGGAAATGAAACTGATCAGCGCCTAAGGGCTTGTTAAGGATATTCGCCAGTTGAGAGGAAGAACCAATCTTCAGAGGGTCAATCTCACCGGTGACCATGCGCTCGCGCACAAAATGATAGTCCATCTCAACATGTTTGGTGCATTCATTGAAAATCGGATTCGCCGCAATGTGCATGGCAGCCTGGTTGTCACAAAACAATAGCAGGGGACCAGACTGAGGAGCGCCCAACTCGGTAAGAAGAAAACACAACCAGATAATTTCACTAACATGTTGGCCATAAAACGTTACTCCGCTTCTGCAGAATACAAAGCAACAACACGATGCTTATTAGTGAGCCAAAAGATAGGTGCAGAGCCCAGCTAAATATAGTACCCAGTAGTAGACCGTCGAGTGGGCTGCCAACCTCCCAATATGCATCACAATAAGCAGTAAGTTGTAGGAAACTATCTGCAAGAAAGAAAAGCCCCTGACCTGGCTTTGTTTTGATGAGCGAAGAACCCGATGAGCCGCTGCGACATGTTCTGGGATCGGAGAATGAACAAACTGACTCAGAACATTAATGGCTTAGGCAATGTCAGGACGAGTAACAGTGAGATAGAGGAATCCACCAACTAGACGACAGTACAAGGAAACATCAACCGCCTCATCGACCTCAGCTGAACTAGGATGAGTGAGTGTATGGTTTTGTTCCATAGGAAACCGGTTAGGACAAGAACCAATAGCTCATGCATCATGTAAGATATCCAGAGCATATTTGCGCTAAGAAAGCACAACAACTTCTGGAGAGCGAGCAACCTCAATGCCCAAAAAATACTTGAGGGTACCGAGATCCTTTATGCTAAACTGAGCATCCTGAAAGGACTTGACCTGGCTGAAGAATTCTGGATCATTCTCAGTGAGGACCACGTCAGAGAAGCAACGAATCGGGAGCCATTATGATGAATTACGAGAGAATGATCTGCACGGGAGGTGACAAAACCAAGCTCATGGATGGCAAGAGTGAACTTGTCATACCAATTGCGAGAAGTCTGGAGAAGACCATAGAGTGACTTCCTCAAACGACAAACTCGAGTATCACCCTTTTTTGGAAAATCTCAGAGGTACCTTCATGTAGACTTCCTCCTCAAGATCACCATGCAGATTGGTATTATTGACATCAAGCTAATGTATCTGCTACCCACAAGCGACATCAACATCAATGAGAGTGCAAACGGTGACGAGCTTCGCCATAGGATCGAAGGTGTCATGAAAATCAACCCCCTCTAGCTAGGTAAACCCTTCGCAACAAGACGAGCCTTATAAACATTCGACCGAGCCATCCAAATTGTACTTGATTTTAAAACCCCACTTGGAATCAATAGCCTTCTTACCCGGTGGAAAATTTCCAAAGTCCAGGTACCATTGGCCCTAATGCCAGGATCTCTCCGATCATCGCCTCACGCCAACAAGCAAAGCGAACAACAGAGTGATAGTTCTTTGGTTCGGTGAGCTGGGTATTGGGGCAAGGAAAGTGTGATGATCAAGAGAGAACTTGTGATAGCTAACATGGTTGGAGATGGTGTAGGTACAGGCATGAGAGCAGTTACCAAGAAATTCCACATCATAAGTGTCGAAACAAGGCGGTGGTCGACGTTCCCTGTCCCCGCGACGAAGGACCGGAATAACAGGTGGAGGTTTGACAGGGGAGGATGCTTCATCGACAAAGATCTCCTCATCTGTGGAAACAACTGTATCGACAAAGTGAGAAGCATCCGATTGTGGCGTAGCAGCAGGAGGTGAGGGTGTATCCATGGAAGTATCATGCAAAGGAGAGGCAGTTTTATCACCCACGTCGAAAATTTCACTAAGGTCCTCATCCACCGCAACACGTTGTGCAACCAAAGGTTCGAGCTGGTTGAGGTCCTCGGCAAAAGAAGCATGCAGAGATGGTGAAGGGATCGGCATGGCGAGAGCTGGTGGTGACGAGATGGCCATGCGGAAAGGAAACTGGGTTTCAACAAAATGTACGTTGTGAGAAGTGTAAACCCGTCGAGTGACAAAGTCATAGATGCGATAGCCCTTCTGTGAGTGAGGGTAACCTCCAAATAAAGCAGTCAAAATCGGGATTTCACGTAAAATCGAAAACTGAGGTAAAATCGGAATCGTAAAATCGTAGGATTCTAAGGTTCATATAAAAGCTAACATATAATAAAAGAATAAGGTAAATCATTAATATCACAATAACACTTAAAATAATAATTATCAAGATTAATGTCCCACAATAATCCTTTTAAGTGTTATTTAACCGCTAAATTCTAAGCCAAAATTAAAAACTATATTTTTACCCTCATCTTTGTCCCCTCGTGTTATGTCCAGAAGTCCAAAAGTTAAAAATCTTAAAACCCAGATTCTCTATCCCATCGGCTTTTGTCGCCGGCTTCCTGCATTATGTTCCGGTTATGAAAGCATCATTGTCGCCTTCCTCTGTGAGGAACCTTCATCGTCTCTGTCCATCAGGGCTACCTGCAAATCTCCACCACAGGAATCATAGATGAAAGGGTAGTGTAATTGCCCGATTAGAAAATGAGGATGCGATGGGGATCTAGGTCTTCAAAACCAAAAATCAAACCATAGCCAATTCGAACCGCTGGGGAGTTGGAATCTTGGCCATTAAGCTCCATGTTGAGGAAAGAGATAAGGTCGTCTGTCATAATCATCATCTGGGTGCAGATTTTTCCTCCACGAGCAATACTTGGCGATGGAGCATTGAACAAGGAGGTTTGTAATTGACGATGGGTCGGCAAATCCAAAAAATTGAGGGAGTGTTGGGCCTGGCCTCGTCTTCTACATACAATTGAAAGGCCCAGTCTCTAAATAAGCCCGGTCGCTTATCCTCATACTACGACGAGAGCCCAGTAGCGATTCATCGTCACTATCTCTGTCATCAGCTTCAACAAAGGCTTCGAACGAAAGATTCCATCATCGATCTCTCCTACCATCAATTCCTCCCAACGGAAACCTGCATTGATGATGAGAGACAGAAGACTAGCTCCTCCGAGGTCTATATCAAGAACACCTCAGAACAAAGAAGGTCACGGTTTTCCTTTTCTCAGTAAGAGTGTGGTTCTCTTTGGGAGTCTAGGTCTGGGTCTGTGTAAGTGTCTGGAAAGCTTGAGTTGGGGCCGTGTGCCAGGGACTCAAGCTTATCCGGGCATAGCTTTCATTCTCGCCTTGTTATCTTGGATCTTCGTTACAGAATTGTTGTGTCTCAATTCTGTGTTGTGTCTCTTCAATTGAATCTGTATTAGGTCTCTCTATTTCTCGAGTGTTTCAATTGG